TCCATACTGTAAATGCCTGTAGTCACTTCCAAGGCCTGCATGAGCTGCTTCCTGGGGTCTGTCCTCAAAGGTGTGTGCAGCACTCAGGTGTCCAGCCCAGTGCGTGTCCAAGGGACAGTTCTCCACTGGAAACATAGACGGAGCTGGGACATGTCATCTGGGGTGTCCATACACATGCACTTAAGGACCCTTACAATGCAGGTCAGAGTGGGGTTGAAAAGTGAGGAGGGATTGGGCCTTAGGCCATGATGCGAAGAAGGCAGGGGAATGGAGATGGACTTATAATGCAGGTCAGAGTAGGGTTGGGAAGAGAAGGGGGATTTGACAATAAGTCATGGTGGGGAATAGAGGGAGATGTGGAATTCTAAGGACTCTGAGAATTCTAAGTTCAAATCTGTCTTTCCAGGTCATTATGAAGGTTTTATTTGTCAAAATAGGACAGAACATATATTAACAATTAATTTGATCGATTTCTAACTTTTATATTAACAGTTTCTTCAGTTGATTTCTAACTTATATGGAATATGCACTGCCATCTGCACCCTTGTTTCAGTCCCCATACATCCTAGGTAGGAGCAGATATGGTGCCATTTGCTTGTCCTGGAAAGTATATCCTGATGTCGTCATGAGCTCTTAGAGTCTTATCTTGCTCTGTGTATAAGCCCTGATGGAACTGTGGTTTACCAGACATCTTGGTGCTTGGGTCACTCCCCAATGTTTACCTTTAGTAAATGAAGCAAATAACCAGAATTATATAAATCTTGCTCATCAGCATGTAGAAAGGTGTAACAAAAGACATGTAGATTATCTCAAAGTTGATATGACTCATTAAATAAATTATACAGGAAAGATGAATATAACATAACACTTGGGCCACCCTGACTCTAAACCCCAGATGTTTAAATCCCATCTCCAGAATTCTCCCTCAGTTCTGATGGAATTCACCTGAACAGTTTAAATTTCTTTTCCAGTTTATTCCTGTATAAGCTTCTAATGTCTATTTCAATGAGATTATCTACCAATAGGTGTTATTAATTTCTCATTTGGCATAAGGATTTGAGGTGATTCCTTTCAGCAAATATTAGAGAACCTCTTAAGTAGTAGGCATTTTGGCTGCTACAGGGGATACAACAGTGAACAAGAAAAACGTGCCCACGCCTTTGAAGAGCTCACAGTCTGAAAAGGGAGACACATATTAATAAATACAGGTAGTCCCCAATTTATGATGTATTCAAGTTATGCGGAACCACACTTTTGGAATTTTTTTTTATATCTTATCATTAGTAATATGTATGTACGTATGTATTAAAATACATCTGTAAATTTATATGTAATATTTCTAATCCCAAAGACAAATAAAGATCAAATTTATAAAGATACTGATAATAAAAGTCAATAATAATGAAAACTAAAAAAAAAAAAAAGAGGTATTCAACTTATGTCAGAACTAGCTTACAACGGAGTTGCTGGAGCAGAACCCCATCGTAAGTCAGGGATTACTGGTATTGTTAATTAATTTAATTGCAATAATGCAGTTGCAAATAATTAACTGCAATTCTCAAAGTCTACAAAGGAAAGTGCTGCAGAGTGCCAAGAGAGTAGATAAACTAAAACCAAACCCATTGCCGTCAAGTTGATTCTGACTCATAGCGACCCTATAGGGCAGAGTAGAACTGCCCCATATGGTTTCCAAGGAGTGGCTGGTGAATTCAAACTGCCAACCTTTTGGTTAGCAGCTATAGCTCTTAACCACTACGCCACCAGGGCTCCAAGAGAGTAGATAATAAGAGACAAAACCAGGTCTGGGGATGCAGAGACAGTTCCCTGAGAAAGTGGTATTTAAGCTGAAAAATGAGCCAGCCAGTTGAAGGGGTGAGAAGCAGCACCATCTGAGAGCTGGCATTCAAGAGAAAACCATACATGCAAGAGTCTTTAGGCAGGAAGGAACTCAGCACATCAGGGGAACTGAAAAAAGCGAGGCTAAAACAATGTACAAGATAGTAAGATAGTGCTAGAGAGGTAGGCAAGAACCCGGAGTTGTAGGTTCTTAGATACCACACTTAAAATCTGAAGTTTTGTCATTACTGCAATGGAAGCCTTCGAGGTTTTAACCTGGAAGTAAATGATCAGAATTATGGTTTTAAAGATCATTGTATGTGTGAAATTGTATACTAAAAGCTTAAGGGGTCACAGACATTCTCAAGGGTCTTAAATTTCTATGAGAATTTTAATAATTTTTAAACAAAAGTATCAGTTACAATGAAGTCTCTTTTGCAAAGAAAATTCAAAACTGACATTTTCACAGAATAAAAGTCTTAAGGCAGTGTATTTCAAACTGTGTTCCTTGAAAATTCCTTTTGCTTAAATGGGGTCTGTGTATTACACAAATTTGAGACATGCTGCTCTAGGAGTTGGGTGAAGAATGGCATGGAGGGGAGTATAAGACAATACTGGGACACAAATCTGCAAGTTATTGCAGTGGTCCAGGAAATCATGGTAATTTAGACCAGAGTAGTGGCAGTAAAGGCAAAGAGAAGCAGACTGATCGCAGAGGGTAGAATCTGTGACACTCAAGATTGATTAGATCAGGGAAGGAGGGAGACAGAGATATGAAGCATGACAACCAGACTTCAGGCTGGTATAGCTGAGTTGATGGATAATAATAGTTAATAATTATGTACTGCTTATTACGTAGCAAGTACTATTTTAAGTGTACCACCCGTCAGTTTGTCATACTGTGGTAGCTTGCTATGATGCTGCAAGCTATGCCACCAGTATTTCAAATACCAGCAGGTTCACCCATTGTGGACAGGTTTCAGCAAAGCTTCCAGACTAAGACAGATTAGGAAAGAAAGGCCTGATGACCTACTTCTGAAAATTAGGCATTGAAAACCCTATAAACTACAACAGAATATTGCCTGATATAGTGCTGGAAGATGAGACCTCTAGGTTGGAAGGCAACAATGGACTTAAGCATGCCAGCAATTATGAGGATGTTGCGAGACCAGGTAGCATTTTGTTCTGTTGTACAGAGTCGCCATGAGTTGGAGCCAATGGCAACTAACAAGTATTCTAAGCACCCTCCATATATTAACTCATTTAATCCTCACAAAAAAACCTCAGAGCTAAGAACTATTATTATTTACATTTTACCGATGGGGAAACCAAGACCTTACCTAAGGTCACACAACTATTAAGTGGCAGAGAATTCAGCACCAAAGAAGAAGCAAGTTTGCAATGGGACAAAAATTTAATTTTGTGTATGCTAATTTTGAGATTCCTCTGAGATATCTAAGTGGAAATGTAGAGAATTCATTTGGATATAAACTGGAACACAGAAGAGAATCTAAGAAATATAAATTAGGGAAATATCAGTATATTCGAAAGCTCAGATGTGGATGAGACTAGCATGATAAACAACAAGACTTTACTACAAATCCTTGAAGACATACAACATTTAAAGCTTAAAAAAAGATTAGTACTGGGTACTAAGAAGGAGCCTCCAGAAAAAAGGAGTAGGAAAGTCAGGGGATTGAGGGTTTATGGTATTGTCACAGAGGTCAAGAAGTCTCAAATAGAGGGTAGAATCAGCTATATCCCATGCTTTTAAGAGGTCAGGTAGAAAAACAACCCACAAAATGGGAGAAAATATTTGCAAATCATATATCTGAAAAGAGACTTGAATCTAGAATATATAAAGAACTCTTACAACTTAATAATAAAGACAATCCAATATTTTAAATGGGCAAAGGATCTCAACAGACATTTCTTCAAAGAAGATATATAAATAGCCAACAAGCACATGTTCAACATCAATAGTCATTAGGGAAACAAAAACCAAAATCACAACGAAACACCTCTTCATGTCCACTGGCTATAATAAAAAAAAGAAAACAAAGACAATAACAAGTATTGGCAAAGATGTGGAGAAATTGTAACCCTCATACATTGATGGGGGGATTGTAAAACGGGCTGTCACTTTAGAAAACAGTTTGGCAGTTCCTCAGAAAAGTTCAACGCTGAGTTACTATATGACCTAGCATTTCCACTCCTAGGTATATATCCAAGAGAAATGAAAACATGTCCACACAAAAACTTGCAAACAAATGTTCACAGCAGCATTATTGATAATAGTCAAAAAGCAGAAATAACCTAAATATCCATCAACTGATAAATGGACAAGTAAAATGTGGTGGGATCAGTTCCTGGAGAAGGACATCATGCTTGGTAAAGCAGAGGGTCAATGAAAAAGAGGAAGACCCTCAACCAGATGGCTGCAACAATGGGATCAAACATGGCAATGACTGTGAGGATGGCACAGGGCCAGGTAATGTTTCATTCTGTTGTACACAGGGTCACTATGAGTCAGAACCAACTCAATGGCACCTAACAACAACAACAACCTATCCATACAATGGAATATTATTCAGCTACACAAAGGAATGACGTATTGATACATACTATAAACATGGATGAACCTTGAAAACATTAGGTGAATAAAAGAAGCCATCCATAAAAGGCCGTATATTGTATTTTTCCATTTATATGAAAAGTCAAAAAAAGGCAGATCCACAAAGACAGAAAGTAGATCAGCAGTTGCTTAGGGCTAGATGAGAAGTCCCTGTGTGGTGAAAATGGTTAAGCACTCAGCTACTAATCAAAAGGTTGCTGGTTTGAGTCCACTCAGACGCAGCTCGGAAGAAAGGACTGATGATCTACTTCCAAAAGATCATAGCTATTGAAAACCTACAGAGCGCAGCTCTACTCTGTATCACACAGAGTAACCATTAGCCATTTACCTAATTTATGTTCACTGGACTGAAGGCAAGTAAGGAACTAAAACCCTGAAGGTTTGAGACAGGAAACAAAGCAAAACTTATTTCCTCATCCTCCCTGACCATACCTTTCAAGTGTTCTTCCTGGCTTATCATATTACTTGGGCAAACACACCTGACCACACCTCCTGACATTTCTCAATATTTGCATGAGGAAAGAGGCTGAGGCAACCTGATACCCAATAAATAGCCAGACAAGTCATCAACATTCCAGCGCACTGCTGGAGAGATGAGACAATTACACCAGCTGCCCCTAGTGGGGCTCCTATTGTTTTTCCTTACTCCAAGCCAACTATTCAAGACCTGTGGTGAGTACACTCTGAGCTAAAATTACTCTAGTGTCACAGTCTCCTGATGGCTACTGACAGGGGACTCTGTTTAGAATTACTTTTAAAAAGAACCTAACCCAGTTCTATGGTTGGATGCTATCAGTGATGTGAAGATGATGAGGAAAGTCCGATGATGTTTGTTTGAAGAGGGATAAAAGACTTAACATTAACTTGCCTGATTGTTCTTCCTATGCTCAGCTCCTCTTTACCACAGCACCCCCAGCAAGTAACTATCTATTCTGAGTCATTTTCAATGACAGAAAATTCATGATCCCAGAAACTTTCCAATATCATGGAAAGTTGTCTTTTGATTGTTGAGTTGCAATCTAGTTTTCCGACGTTCAGCTAACAGGTTTTGGGTTAATCCCTTGTGACCAGACAGGAAAAAAATGATAATCCCTTTCAAATAATGAAGGCTGCTCTCTTGTCATTACTGAATTTAGATGTCTCAAACTGCACATCTCTCTTCCTTCAACTCTTACCCCATGGTACATGGATAAAATCCCCATCATTTCTCCTTTGGGTGCTGGCTCCAGAAATCAATGATCCTATTAAAGAATACTAAACTAGGAGAGAAGAAAACTAGGTTTAGATCTTGTTTGAACCCTTAGTAGCTGTATGATCCAATGTTTCTGAACTTCTTTAGCTTCATCCATAAAAAGAGGATGATAAGGGCAGGGGGTTAAAGAGAATGATCTCCTGAAGTCTGATACAGCTCTCAGGTCCAAGAATTCTCTTCTGTGACTCTTTTTCCTGAAATTACAAACCAGCCCAAAGATGACTGGTGGTGCCATCTATGACTTATCCACTGTCATAAGCTGAAGTGCACAGAATCTAGCCAAGGTCTGGCTAAATCCAGGGCCCATGTTCTTCTCATTTTCCCACTAACCCATAAGATAATCTGGAGATGGGTAGGATTGGTAGCTACTTCTCAGAATTATGGACAAAGTGTATTTAGAAACTGTCCTATGTTTTAAGTGATAATTAACTCTTCTTCTTCTCCTGGTACTCGCAGCCAACAACAACAAGAAGAGTTCAACACTACAGAAGACAGACTTGTATTCATACAGGCTAAAGCACACAATCTTCCAACTTTCATTTTTCTTCCTGTCATTTCCCCTGTTGTATCCTGAGAATAGGGGATCCCTGTGGAGACTCTGAAGTTCAATTCATTTTACAAAGTAATTAGCTTTATCTTTAGTGGTCAAGGAAGCTGATCTGAATTGCTGACCAGGAACAAAAAGTCTGTTTCTGTACCAGAAAACCTACTGAACTAGATGCTTTCAAAAAAACCTCAGACAGCTGACTTACAATAGTCCCATTTTGCCTACAGCAAAAACATGACCTTTCTACAACCACTCCATTCAGAGTTTCTTGGCTCTTTCTTCTAAAGTGAAGAAAGGTGGGCAAGAGAAATCACATTTGCTGAATTTTCTTAGTGTTAGAAACTCCATTTCGACCTGGAGGTAATAATATGTACAACATTTTACAGTTTATTAAGTGGTTTCTTGTCCAGTACCCGTGAGACAGGTGTTAATATCCATAATTTCAGAATGAGGAAACTGAGGGTCAGGGAAGTTATATAACTTACCCACCATCATAAGTTGAAGTGCACAGAATCTAGCCAAGGTCTGGCTAAATCCAGGGCTCATGTTCTTCTCATTTTCCCACTAACCCATGAGATAATCTGGAGATGGGTAGGATTGGTAGCTACTTCTCAGAATTATGGACAAAGCATATTTAGAAACTGTCCTATGTTTTAAGTGGTAACTAACTCTTCTTCTTCTCCTCCAGTTCTTTGGGGCACTGAATTCCCTTTTCACTTCCAGAATAATATGACTTCCCTCCATCCTCATTCCTGGGATTTGGACATGTTGTAAGCTAAAACTGGAGGGTTTTCTCAAGAGCCCATACTGCTAAATAATGACTTTGATGCCTGGCTAGTTGGGCAAGCAGACAGTGTGATTTGGGGGTCAACTACCAACACCACACAGCAGCTCTGCCTGCATCTCCTCTATATTAACCCAATTGAGTTAGAAGAAGGTGGAGAAAGAAAGAACTGAGCCCAGAAAGTAGAATGGGATTCAGAAACATGTATTCTAATATCAGCTAAGCCTCCAATTACCAAGGTTTCTTTAGGGACACCCTCTGTAGGTCTCATTTTCAAAATTAGGGAATGACTGTAGGTCTTCCAGGCAGGCCTGATATTCTGCCAATATACATTAAAGTGGTACCAGTTGTTGAACTATTGAAATACTTCCATGCTGGGTGGTAAAGGAGTAATGTCTGGCATTGCTGGAGCTCTAAATCCCATCCCTGCATTGTTTCAGTAGGACACTCAGTATTGTTCCAGCAATATAGCTACTGGATTGGTCTATGTCTGTGCCATACCTTATGCTAAATATTTTAACATCACCCCTGCTCCTAGCTTTAATATTTTCTGTGTATATGTTTCTTATTTCCCCCTACCACAGAGGTAAATGAAGACGACCGATTCCGTCTAAACCCTCTGTTGAGCACAATGAGCTATTCAATATGTACCAGTGAAGTCCAAGCTGCCAATGTTCTGCTGTCCCTGAGACTTGTTGGGATCAAGAGGCAAAACCTAGAGCAAAAGCTGATGCAAGAAGTCAACGATACTGCGGTAAGGAAAGGTAAGTGTCAATATTCCCTGAGAGCTTTAGGAAAAGACCCACCTATCTAAAACATTATCTCTGCCAAATCCTAAAAATTGTGCTCAAATCCCAAAAAAAAAAAAAAAAAAAAGCACAGGAAGACAAGACACCAAGAAAATCATAAACATGTATCTTGTTAAACTCAAATACTTTTCTTTTCAGCATCAAATATAAGTTCTGGACAGCTTGCCTGGACTATGATGGCTTTGGGAGCATGTCATAACCCTAATGAAACCTTTATTATTGATCTTCAACTGGTCCGCCTTCTAGAAGAGAAATTCCAAGAAGAAATTGAAAATATGAGTGAGAATCAAATCTTCAGATATGCTAGACAAGTTTTTCTCCTCCCCCACTGATTCACAACTATATAGTTTCCCTTCACTCTTTCCTTCTCCTCTTCATTCCATTCATCCCACTCTATCATTGCATATCACTTTCCCTTTTTTCCTCTTTCAACATGCTTCTTGAACTTTCTTTTCAAATTTGTCCAACTGACCCTATGCCAAGCACTGTTCTATATATGATGGAGGGGACACACACATACACGCTATAGACATATGGATATATAGGTATGTATCACAGTTCTCTGTTGTTGTTAGGTGCTGTTGAGTAGGTTCCAACTCACAGAAATCCTATGTACAACAGAACTAAACACTGCCCAATTCTCTAGTCCTCCAGAAGCGTGGCTTTCAGAAAAATAATGAATTATACCAAAAATAGCTGAAGAATACAAGACATTATGTCCTAAGTACCAAAGAATCTGATGCCAGTTGTAAGAACTAAAGAGAGATAAAGTTCTTTATCTCTGGGAAAAATAAGTTGACTACCGTGGCTCTAGTGAGTTGTATTGTTTTTATTTTAATCTCCACTCCAATATTTATCCTCTGATTCATTAATTTCCTCCTCCAATCTCATCTTCTTTTGAAATGGTCTCCAAGCCATGCTTCTACTTATAGTTTCAACATATTACTCTTGAAAGCACAATACGCTGGGAGGTGGGAAATCTGTGCTCTAGTCCTAGATATGTAACCATCTGAGTACTGGGACAGTATTTTAATTTCTCTAGTGTTTGGTATTCTCAGTTATAAAATGAAGACAGTTGAGTTGAATTCCACAACCCATTGCTGTTGAGTCAATTCTGACTCACAGCGACCCTACAGGACACAGTACAACTGCCCAATAGGGTTTCCAAGGAGCCACTGGTGGATTCGAACTGCCAACCTTTTGGTTAATAGCAGAACTCCTTACCACTGAGCACTGGGTGATCCTTAAAAGTCTTTAAATTTCTCAGGTTTGCTGATTCTGTGGGTGATTTTCTCCCTCTATTACTCACCTCTCCTTAAAAGTAGGCATATGCGAATAAAGTAAATATAAATTAATTGAAAATGTATTACTCCAGTACCACTTCCACGAGTAAGGTATTTCTTCTCTTCTCTTCTCTCTGCCAGGAGCACACAACGGCAATCCACTAACTAACTACTACCAGCTCAGCCAGGCCCTTTTGGCCTTGTGCCTGTTCAGTGGAAACTACTCAGTCACTGAAATTGCTGAACTCTTCACTCCTGAAAATAAAAACTATTATTTTGGTAACCAGTTCTCAGTAGGTGAGTCACTGGATTCAATTTCCTTGGTACAGATGACACAGTCACCAGTAGGTCTTGGCCTGTTAGTTTTTCTACCATTGAGTAATTGGATTTTTTTTCCTATCCTCTTTACCCTCAGTCCCCTCAGAAGACAACTTTCATTTTAGAAGAATTAGTGTTGGGTGGGATTTAAGCCTCCTTCTGGATGTGTGGTATAACAGAAAGGCTTTAGTTCCTACTCTTGCTCTTCTTTGAGTTATATAACCAATGTATATTAATTCTTCAATTAAATATTCCCACCTATAAAATAATAATTAGGTAATGATAATCTTCATATAAAACATTTTAGGAAGTATAAGTGTTACAGAAAAGAAATGCAGTAGAATTCATTTATCCAAACCCTGCCTCTTTCTCTAATTTATTGGGACCATTTGGATATGTGGGTTAACTTGAATAGCACAATATCTCCAGTGACAAGGCCCAATATTTTGATCAATAACGTGTATATTCAAAGGATAGGAACCAGAAATTTTCCATTGAGTGAGATTACATATCCAAAATGGAGAAGTTCCTTCTAAAGAAGAAGTATTGGTGCTCAACCCCAATAGATCCAGATATATAAGCTTACCTTTCTCCAAGAAGCTCAAAGCAAATCAGCATTCAGTATTTATACATAGTAAAGTGTGAGGTTTCCCATACTCCTTTTTTTCTACTAGAGAGACAAGGAACCAGACTAAAAGGCAAACAGAAACCAAGTATCAAGCCAGAGAAAGAGCCCTGATTCTCCTTTCTCCCGAAGTCTTGCCTTATCCTCCCTCTTAAGGAGGTTAACTGGAGACTAATTCTATTAAATACTATTTTCTAATCAGTCTAATGGAACTTTTGGGAACCTTACAAATACATATTTGGTTTGGTGTATCATCCCGGGTTTTCTTAATTTCCTTGACAATATGGCTGCAAGGAGGAAAATATAGGAGCAACCAAGATGTAAAACTGGAAGACCATCTATGTGCATGCATCTACAAATCCAAATGTGTGTCTATGAATAAGGTGTGAGGTATTTAAGTACAGAGTGTCAGGGGGACATGGCAACTCAACATAGGGAACAAATCTTGAAGGATTGGGTGGTTAGTATTGAAGAAATGATTGCTCTATCTTGAAATCCTTTCCTCCTATCACCAAACAGCATGACCAACCATCCTAGATTATTCAGGTCTGTCTCCATTTTAGCACAGAAAGTCTCACATCCTGGAAATACTTCAGCCCAGGGAAAATTGGGATGGGTGGTCACCCATCACCAACTTTTTGTTTCTTGACAGATACTGGTGCAATGGCTGTCCTAGCTCTGACCTGTGTGAACGGGAGTATAATAAACCGACAGCCAGAAGATGAGAAGATTTCAATGAGTATCAATAATCACACAGAGTTACTGATAAAAAAAATTCTGTCTGAGAAAAAAGAAAATGGTCTCATTGGAAACATATATAGTACAGGAGAAGCTATGCAAGTAAGTCTGAGGGTAAAAGAGAAAGCAAAGGAGGGAATCATCATTCTTATTGGCCTCCCTAGTTATTATTATCCATTCTGTGTTTCCTATACTAACTTTCATTGCTTTATCTGTGTTTGCTCATATGACTCCACTCCCCTGCCTAAAATGTACTCCTTCTCATCTTCAATCTTTACCTCTTCATATCCAATGCTTCTATGAGGTTTTCCTAACTACAATTTCTTTAAAAATTCAATTTTAAAGTCTACCACAGCCTATCCTGTTGTTCTATTACATACAATTTCACATAATATGATATACCATTGTTTTGTGCTTTCATTTTACCTCCCAAATTAGACTGTTGTTATAGAAATAATAAATGGTAGTGGTAGTAATAAATAATAGCAGCTAATAACAGCACTGGTCTAAGTATTTTACTCTATTAACATATTAATGAACGCAACAACCCAGTGATGGCAGAATTATTACTTCCATTTCCTACAATAAGAACATGAGTCATGGAAGTATCAGTAACTTGCCTAAGATTACATAGCCAGCAACTGGTGCAGACATAGATGGGATGGGACACGGACAGCTGGTTTTGAAATTCACACTCTTAGCACCTACACTGTCCTGCATACACTTCCTGAGGTCTGTGACTTTATTCACTGATTTCTTCAACTGTTGTTGTTGTTGCTGTTGCTGTTATTGGTGTTGTTCTTAGTTACTGTTCTGACTCATAGCAACCCTATGTACAACAGAAGGAAACACTACCTGGTCCTGTGCCATCCTCATCATCATTGTTATGCTTGAGCCCACTGTTGCAGCCACTGTGTCAATCCATCTCATTGAGGGTCTTCCTCTTCTTTGCTGACCCTATTTACCAAGCATGAGGTCCTTTTCCAGGGACTGATCCCTCCTGATAACATGTCCAAAGTGTGTGAGACAAAATCGTTGCCTCCAAGGAGCATTCTGGCTGTACTTCTTCCAAGACAGATTTGTTTGTTCTTTTGGCAGTCCATAGTATACTAAATATTCTTCGTCAACACCATAATTCAAAGACATCAATTCTTCTTCAGTCTTCCTTATTCACTGTCCAGCTTTCGCATGCATATGAGGCAACTGAAAACACCATGACTTGGGTCAGGCACAGCTTAGTCCTCGAAGTGACATCTTTGCTTTTTAACACTTTTAAAATGTAAGGCAATGCGTTGTTTGATTTCTTGACTGCTGCTTCCATGGGTGTTGATTGTGGATCCAAGGAAAATGAAATCCTTGACAACTTCAATCTTTTCTCTGTTTACCATGATGTTGCTGATTGGTCCAGTTGTGAGGATATTTGTTTTCTTTATGTTTAGATGTAATCCATACTGAAGGTTGTAGTCTTTGTTCTTCATCAGTAAGTGCTTCAAGTCCTCTTCACTTTCAGCAAGCAAGGTTGTGTCATTTGCATAAGTATGGGGAAAGGATACAACCCTGCAACACACATTTCCTGACTTTAAACCATGCAGTATCCCCTTGTTCAGTTCGAACAACTGCCTCTTGGTCTATGTACAGGTTCTGCATGAACACAATTAAGTGTTCTGGAATTCCCATTCTTCACAATGTTATCCATAATTTGTTATGTTCCACACAGTCAAATTCCTTTGTATAGTCAATAAAACACAGGTACATCTTTCTGGTATTTTCTGCTTTCAACTAGGATCCATCTGACATCAGCAATGATATCCCTTGTTCCACGTCCTCTGCAGAATCTGGGTTGAATTTCTGGCAGCTCCCTGTCAATGTACTGCTGCAAGACCTTTTGAATGATCTTCACCAAAATTTTACTTGCCTGTGATATTAATGATATTGATCGAAATTTCCACATTTGATTGGATTATCTTCCTTTGGAATAGGCATAAATATGGATCTCCTCCAGTCGGTTGACCAGGTAGCTGTTTTCCAAATCTCTCGGTATAGACAAATGAACACCTCCAGCACTGCATCCATTGTTGAAACATCTCAATTGGCATTCTGTCAATTCCTGGAGCCTCGTTCTTCAGCAATGTCTTCAGTGCACCTTGGACTTCTTCCTTCAGTACCATCGGTTCTTGATCATATGCTACCTCCTGAAATGACTGACCATTGACCAATTCTTTTTGGTATAGTGACTCTGTATTCCTTCCATCTTCTTTTGATGCTGCCTGTATTGTTCAGTATTTTGCCCATAGAATTCTTTACTACTGAAACTTGAGGCTTGAATGTTTTCTTGAGTTCTTTCAGCTTAAGAAATGCTGAACATGTTCTTCCCTTCTGGTTTTTAACTCCAGGTCTTTGCACATGTCATTATATTTTATTCTGTCTTCTTGAGCCGCCCTTTGAAATCTTCCGTTCAGCTCTCTTACGTCATCACTTCTTCCTTTCGCTTTAGCTACTCTATGTTCAAGAGCAAGTTTCAGAGTCTCTTCTGACATCCATTTTGGTCTTTTCTTTCTTACCTGTCTTTTTAATGACCTCTTGCTTTCTTCATGTATGATGTCCCTGATGTCATTCCACAATTGATCTGGTCTTCGTCATTAGTGTTCAATGTGTCAAATCTATTCTTGAGATGGTGTCTAAATTCTGGTGGAATATACTCAAGGTCAGACTTTGGCTCTCATGGACTTGTTCTAATTTCTTCAGCTTCAACTTAAACTTGCATATGAGTAATTGATGGTCTGTTCCACAGTCGGCCCCTGGCCTTGTTCTGACTGATGAGACTGAGCTTTTCCATCGTCTCTTTCCACAGATATAGTCCGATTTGATTCCTGTGTATTCCATCCAACGAGGTCCATGTGGATAGCCGATGTTTATGTTGTTGGAAAAAGGTATTTGCAATGAAGAAGTCGTTGGTCTTGCAAAACTCTGTCATGCGATCTCCCGCATTGTCTTTATCACCAAGACCATATTTTGTAACCACCAACACTTCTTCTTTGTTTCCAACTTTTGCATTCCAATCACCAGTAATTATGAATGCATCCTGACTGCATGTTCGATCAATTTCAGACTGCAGAAGCTGGTAAAAATCTTCAGTTTCTTCATCATTGGTCTTAGTGGTTGGTGCGTAAATTTGAATAATAGTTGTTTTACTTGGTCTTTGTTTAGGCATATGGATATCATCCCATCACTGACAGTATTGTACTTCAGGATAGATCTTGAAATGTTCTTTTTGACAATGAATGCAATGCTATTCCTCTTCAATTTGTCATTCCAGTATATGCTGTGAATGACAATTCAACTCCAGGGGGTATAAATGAAAACAGATCAACAAAGTTTACAGAAAAAAATATATATTTTCACTGAGTCTTTAGTATGAACAGTGTTTGCCAGGCCAACTCAGAGTGAGAGGCCCTTCAGGGAAAGAGGTAGCAAGAACAAAGAACCAAAGACATGAAAATAAAATACTGGCTATTTTAGGAAGATCAAGATGTCCAACATAGCCAGTATTGGGTCCTCCACAAAGCCTTTTCTCAGCCTTACTAAATGCTTATGAGCTCTTCCTCCTTTGAAATGCCGTATCACTAGATGTTTCTCATAGGGCAGTCACCTTATAGCTTCTTTTACAATAGTCTGTCCATCGAGAAATAATTAGTGAGTGGCCCCTATATGACATGTACTATTCCAGTGTTGGAGACACAGAATTGAACATGGCAGAGAACGTCTGTTCTCACTGGGGCTATTTCATTTTGTGTTATTAAACCATTCCCCATCTCTTCCCACCTGTCTTAGTCATCTAGCGTTGCTTTAACAGAAATACCACAAGTGGATGGATTTAGCAAAGAGAAGTTTATTCTCTCACAGTCCAGTAGGCTACAAGTCCAAATTCAGGGCATCAGCTCCAGGGGAATGCTTCCTCCGTTGGCTCTAGAGGGAAGTCCATGTCATCAGTCTTCCTTTGGTCTGGGAGCTTCTCTGCGCAGGAACCTCAGGTCCAAAGGACGCACTTTGCTCCCAGCACTGCTTTGTTGGTGGCATGAGGTTCCCCTGTGTCTCTGCTCGATTCTCTCTTTAATATCTCAAAAGAGATAGCATTAAGACACTAATCTTGTCAACCTCATCAGTATAACCTCATCACAGTGATAGAATTTACAACACAAAGGAGATCACATATAATCTCATCATAGTGATAGAGTTTACAACACGTAAGAAAATCACATTAGATAACACAATCATACAATACTGGGAATGATGACCTAGCCAAGCTGACAGATGTATTTGGGGGACACAACTCAATCCATGACACCACCCAAATTAATTGATAAGCTTACTGAGGGCAGGAAAGGTATCTTAATTATCTTTGTAGCTCCTAAGATGCTTCCTATGTAGTCTGTGCTCAATAAATAATTATTAAATTACTATATTTTTCGAAAATAATGCACTCATGTAAATAATGAGCCCACACATACAATGTGCAGAAATGATGAAATTAAGTAAACAGTTGTGGCATAGTGAACACCTTACTTGTGTAAAAATACAGTAAGTTAGATGTAGGCTTCTCACCTAATTGAAGTTTCTCTCATTCATGCTCTCTCTCTCTCTCTCTCTCATTAGGCCCTCTTTGTCTCATCAAACCATTACAATGAAAGTGAATGGAATTGCCAACAGACTCTGGACACAGTACTCAAGGAAATTTCTCAGGGAGCATTCAATATTCCAACTGCTGCAGCCCAGATCTTACCTGCCTTGATGGGAAAGACCTATTTGAATGTTAACAAAGACTCTCCTTGTGTCTACACTTCAGGTATAAGCACTAAAGTACAAACTGTTTTGCCTTTTGGCTTAACACTCAAAGCATACGAGATCTGGATGTCCTCTGGGACCAAGAGTGACCAGATAAACCTCTAAAGCTTAACAATTTTGAGATAGATCTCAGTCCTCAATATAGCATCAGGTACTACAACAACCTGATGATTTGTGCTTACCAGGATAGTAAACGTAGTTCTTGGTTCAAACACTGATCAACGAGGTAGGCTTAATTAAAGGACATCTGTCTCCAAAGGGATGCTTTTTGATTGCTGGATGCATCTGCAAGATGTTCTAAGCAACAATCCCATCTGAAAAAAAAAAATATATATATATATATAGATGATCTATATTTTGTCTCTGGCTTTCTATCATCTTCAGTGAGTGAGCCCTCAGGGAAATAGTACATCTGTGTGGAAGGAATATGGCAGTATTCTCAGAAAATTGTAGAATGGCTCATTTATTTAAGCAACTAGTTTTGCAAAAAGGCAGACAAGACAGAGACCTTTCCTTTGATGTCTGTTCATTCCAAAATATTTAACCTCTAAGCCTCAGTTTTCTAACATAAAAACAGGAATGATAATAGTAAATGATAACAGAATCTAACAGGTTTTTGTAAGGTTTTAATGAAATAATTCATGTACAATGACCAGTACAGTGCCTGGAACTGAATATGCTTTCAATGAATGTTAAAAAAAAAGAAGAAAAATTGGCAAGCATTATTGTACGTTATACCAAAGCAAAAAAAGTCAGAAGCCTCTATGAGAAATGGGAGTTGGAACAACTTAGCTGTTTAAACAGCTGGGAGTTGAGCTGAACACCAGCCGTTCACAAGCCTGTGAGTCTCTGGTTTTAATTCTTGCTTTAGTCATATGACAGATCCTTGTAACTTGCTCTTTGTAACAAATCCTCCGCACAAAGGAAAGGGGTAAAGAGTAGGGTTTGATGGGTGAGCAAGCGCCACCATTTTTATTATTCTGAATATTGCTTTCTGCTTTCTGTATGCCAGATTTCAATGCCTCCATTCCTGTGCCTGGATCTGTGACACCTACGAACTCACCTTCATCTATCACAGTCCATTACTCTGTGCAAATCAATGAAACATATTCCACCAACGTCACCGTGCCAAATGGGTCTGTCTTCCTAAACGTGATGGAGGCAGCTAAGAAACAAAACATAACTATATTTGGGTATGTCTACATATAACTTGGAGTTCTGGTGGTGCAGTAGTTAAGAACTCAGCTGCTAACCAAAAGGTCAGCAGTTCGAATCCACCAGCCGCTCCTTGGAAACCCTAGGGGGTAGTTCTACTCTGTCCTATAGGGTCACTATGAGTTGGAATCAACTTGACAGCAATGGGTTTTTGGTTTGGTTGTACGTAACTTAAGATGTTTAGTGTGAATTTCTAAATAGTAAGAATACATCTGGAAGTACTACCTGAATACAAAGTATATTTAAAGCACATCTTAATTGGTACATTTGCTATTCATTTACGTCTCATGGCATTTTAAAAAGGAGATGAGAGCTTTCATCTTCTAGCAAATACCTACTGCCATCAAGTCAATCCCGACTCATGGTGACCCCAAGTGTTACAGAATAGAACTGCTCCATAGGGTCTTCTTGGCTCTAATCTTTACAGAAGCAGGTCGCTGGGTCTTTCCTCTGCAGCAATGCTGGGTAAGTTCGAACCACCTACCTTTACGTTAGTAGTTGAGCACAAACTATTGGCACCACCTAGGGACCTCTTCTAGTACAAAAAACCTAAAACCAAAACCAAACCCGTTGCTGCCAACTCCAACTCAGCGATCTTCTAGTATATTAAAAAAAAAAAAAAAAAAAATGCCGTAGAGTCGATTTTGATTCATAGCAACCCTCGTAGAACTGCTCCATAGGGTTTCCAAGGAGCAGCTGGTCGATTTGAACTGCTGACCTTCTTGTTAGCAGCCAAGCTCTTAATCACTGTGCCACCAGGGCTCCTCTAGTATATAGTAGGTATTAAATTAACATTTGCTTAATGGACAAATGAATCCCAGAGTCTCCTTTCAGCAAAATTTCCTCTATGGATAGAACCTCTTAAGTCAGACATGTTGTGTCTAGAATAATGGTTCTTAACTATTTTTGAGTCACTGACCCTTTGACAATTCAATAAATGCGATGGATGCCCATTCCAGAAAAATGAACATACACACAAAATTTGGCATTTAAATTGAGGTTTCACAAGCCTCCTGAAGCCCATCCATACCCCCACTTTCAGGAGATTCACAGACCCCTAAGTTAAGGTTCCCTGGCCTACAGAGGTCAAATATTGAAATTAAGATATTGACTTTGACTTCTTAAATCTAATCAACAATTATCTGTTGTGCATCTAATAACATGGCGTAAGATGCTACAGAGAAAAATCAGAATTATAAACAAATGTATATATACATATATATATGTATATATAAAATTATAAAATGATTATAAAGGCTAACTTCAAGGGCTTCCAGGAAGGGTAGAAAAATATGACTAAGGAATATGAAACAGCAATTGACTGTGTCATACTTTTTTTAATAAACACAACATGAAATATTACTCTTTTCTGTTCTCCTTTCCTGAGAAAACCAACTAAAAATGGTGCCTGTAGGACACGAGGGTGCCACTTTCTGCTACTGTTTTAGTGCCTTCAACAGTTGCTATCTTGGAGAAGAATGCTAGAAGTTGTTGACTACAGAGTGTCTACTATGGTAGGAGGGAGGGGCAGAAACCATGGGTATCATTTGTCTAATTTAGCATGGAGTATAGAGTGAATCAGAATCATCTGGAGTGCTTATGAGAAGTGCAGATTCCTGGCCCCCAGCCCAGATCTACAGAATTAAAATATCTGGGATAAGGTCAGGAAATCTGGATTTTTTTTCTAATTGTTTCAAATGATTCTCAGGCACATTAAAGTTTGAGAAATACCTATGTAGGGTCTCCTTTGGAAACTCTGACTTCCTGTAACCAGTCCACTGTTCCCCACAGCTTTACAATGGAGGAGACTTCATGGGGCCCATACATCACCTCCGTTCAGTGCCTAAAGGCCAACAATAATGATAGAACCTACTGGGAAATTTTGAGTGGAGGCCATTCACTGAGCCAAGGTAAGGGAGAGATGCCCAAAGCATTCAGGTGTGGAAGTGGGAGCTTTTGTGGGGAATGTGCCAAGGGGTTGGGAGAGATGGTGAGTGCCCTTGGTCCATCATTTGGTGATTGTGTGTCAGATTATTTGACCCATTTATCTTTCTTCTTCCTTTTCAGGAGTTGGTAGTTATGTTGTCCATAATGGAGAATATTTGATGATTCGCTGGAGCAAATACTAATAAATCCAAACCTTCCTCAGACGGATCTAATCCATTTGCAATAGAAATTAGTTTCATTTATCTTAATCCCAAGAGAAGAGTCAATAACCTCTGCTTCTCTCTCTCTGCCTCTTCAGTAAAAAAACCAGTAACTGTAGAAAAAAAGCATGTTCTAATCAGTTCATCTGAAAAAGGGATTATTATAAGCGGGAGGGTCACCTGAAGAGAAGTGAAGTGAAAAGAGATTGGACCAAGTGTCTAATAAACTGGATTCTACTTAAGGTTCCTCACACTAACTAGCCAGGCAACCATGGACACCTTGGAAAATGGAAATAAGGTTCTAAGTCTAGTGCTGCAGCAGCAACCAATGAGATCAAGCAAAAAGTTTGTAGCCAGATTCAGCACTCTAAGGCCTGGATGCAAGAGAGAAACTGAGTGTTTATATTGACCTCATACAGGCAGTGAGTAGAGAGACAAAATTGTTGTTCTGGAGAAAGGGGAAAATGTGAAGTTTATACACATAAAAAAGTCAGTCCATAAAGTTTGGTAAACAATACCACCCTTCCTCACCTGTCTCCCTTGGGTCCTAACTGTTGTTCTTCAACGTCACTCTTACTTTTCCTTCCCCATAAAATCACCCTGATATTTGTATCACAAAAATGTACATTTAAGAAATCACCTTCGATATTCATTTCACCAGAATTCACATTTTTAGAAAAGTGAATCATGTCTAAGCAGCATGAGCTGGGCTATACTTTATATGAAATACTTGAGCTACATGCAGACAGTCAGAAACCAGAAGGGCCTATAAGATGGCAAAGGGCAGAAGGTGTTTGATATAAGGCATAAGCAATCTATTTAAAAGCCCTCTGAAAGAAAGATGCCTTCAAGCAGAATTAGTTGACTTATTCTAGCAATGTCTCCCTCCTTACTCCTATTTTCCTCATGATAATCTGAGCTTCCTCCCCTCCCCCAGTGACCCTGCTTCATAGTCAGAGATTGATGCTTTTATCTACACACTGCTTTCTAGTACTGATCCTCTACCCTTACGTTCAACTGTCCTGGCCTTGATTAACTGTGTGTGCTAGATGCCCTCATGACTAGACAGCAATGGATCTGTCCTCTTGGGTCTGTGCCTCACCTTGAAAGCTAAGTTCGAGATATAGAGAGGCATGTTAACCCTTCCAGGCCTCCATGGTGCTGTTGGCTCAGGGCAGCACCTGTCAGATCTGTTTATAGACTACACAATCAATGTGAAATTGAAGGATAATGGTTTCTTTAAAGTGACAAATACAAAAAACATTAGAATTATCATTACTGTTCATCATAAATAGTGTGATCATACATTTTGCCATCCAAACCAGAGCATTGTTAAGAGTGAAAGGAAACACTGTTGATAAATATATTTGAAAAATGAATAAAAACTGGGACATCCTGGGCAAACTGATACATGTGGTCAGTTTTGTCTATATAGAAAAATAACAAGAGGTGGGGCCAAGATAGGGGAATAGTCAGACACTCTCTGTTGTCCCTCTTCCAACAAAGACCCAAAAAAATGAGTGAACCAATTATATATGACAATCTAGGAGCCCTGACTATCAAAGACAAAGTTGAGTACTCAGACTGAGCAGCAGGGGAAGGGAAAGACAGTTCAGCAGCAGCGAAGAGGTGCCAATCTTGAAGTAGCCAGTACCGTGCTGGCCAGGTCAGCTGGCGCATGCAGGCTGAGGGAAGCAGTAGCACTAGGGACCCACTTCACCACATCAAGAGACCGGGTGGCAGAGAGTCTGCACAAGCTTCCAGAGCCAGGGGAAGCGGCACTAGATCGAAGAAAGTTAAGTGGAATCATCTAACCTACCATGTGGGATCAAAATAACCCCTCTCCCTGCAGAATGAAGAAGTGCTGCTTTCCCCTCACCCACCTCCCTACCCATTCACTCCACTCCAACACTAGTCTGCCATATTCAACAATTGCAATGCCCCCTACCCCAGAAATAAGGTCTATCATGCTTAAACCAGTCTCATGGCTTTAGGGGAAAAAAAAAACCGCCGAGTCCCCTAAGCTGCGAACTCAGGAACTCAGTCTCCCAGCTTCAATAAATCACCACACCCACTGAGCCAGGAACTCAGGGCAGGCACTGCCTCTTTGCCTAGGATGGGTAACACCCTTCACCCCTGCCTAGACAAGTGTAGTTCGATTCAACATTGTGGGTCTTCATTAATGCCAAGACCCCTAAGCTGGGGACCCAGGACTTTCCGCATCCAAACCAGTCTCACAGCTTTTAAAAAATTCGCCATGCTCCCTAAGCCAGGAATTCAGGGCAGGCACTGCCCCTATGCCTAGGCACTGGCATAAGAGGTCTGTGGACTTCAAATGCCCTTCACCCCTACCTAGACATACGTAGACCCTCGTTAGCATAGAATAAGGCATATACCTGAAGCTTATTTTCAACTGCAGCAGCCAAGAGGGAGCTGCAGATTCATGACATTTGACACCGCCCTGCCCATTAAGCAGGGTCCTCACACAACCACATCAGGGGCCTGAGGAGACTGGCGGTTTCACCCATTCCACCTATCCATCCACAACAGGGGTCTGAGAATAAGTGGTGCCTCCCAGTCCTTACAGCCAACAGCATTGGATGTCCAAAGTCTGGCTGCAAAACCCACCCATCTATGTACTCCAGGGGACAGGGACATGCCTTTCACCCAGGCACTCAGGGCAGCCATCAGTCCTCTACCTTGCTCAGCACATAGCCCCCTACTGCAGCCAGATACCTGTGTCTGCTCCAATCACCCCTATGTAGTCCTGCCCAATTAGGACTGTAGGTGAGAGTCTGTACCACACACTCGGTGACCAACAACCTGAACACCTGAACTGAATCTGCATAAAAAAAGTAAACAGACTCCTGGGCTCACACACCTAGTAGGAGCTCTACCCACCTGGTGAGAGGACATGAGCGCTTCAAAGACCCCAATAACCAAAGTAGCTCACACGCCCAGTCTACTTGGGCATATCAAAACAAAACAAAACAAAAAGCTAGGACACAGTAAGCAAACATTCAATAAATAAATAAAATTATTTACTCATGGCTCAGAGATGACACTCAATATCAAATCACATAAAGAAGCAGGTCAAGATGGCTCCAGCAAGTGACCAAAACAAAGAACCAGGAAACCTTCTGAACGAAGAGAAGGTCTTGGAATTACCAGAGTTAGAATTCAAAAGATTACATTGTAAAACAAAATGTACAACAAAATTCTAACTCACAAAAAAAGACCAGACTTACTGGCCTGACAGACACTGGAGAAACCCCAGAGTATGGCCCCCAGACAACCTTTTGGCTCAGTAATGAAGTCACTCCCAAGGTTCACCCTTCAACCAAAGATCAGGCAGCCCCAAAATGAGACTAATGGGGCACAACAGTCCAGGGACAAGGACTAGAAGGCAGGAGGGGCCAGGAAAGCTGGTAATAGGGAACCCAAGGTTGAGAAGGGACAGTGTTGACATGTTGTGGGGTTGTTAACCATTGTCATAAAACAGTATGTGTACTAACTGTTTAATGAGAAACTATTTGTTCTGTAAACCTTCATCTAAAGTACAATAAAAAAAATTTAAAAAAAGAATTCAAAAGATTGATATACAGAGCTCTTCAAGAGAACAGGAAAGACAACATGCAAAACACAGACCAAGCCAAGGAACACACAGACAAAGCAATAAAGGAATTCAGGAAGTCAATACAAGAACAGAACAACAAATTCAACAGGCTGCTAGAAACCATAGGGAGACAATAAATAGAAATCCAAAAGATTAACAATAAAATTTCAGAATTAGACAACTCAATAGAAGGTCATTGGAGCAGAATTGAGGCAATGGAAGTCAGAATTAGTGAGACTGAAGATAAATCCCTGGACATCTGTTGATTTGAGGAAAAATCAGATAAAATAATTTTTAAAAATGAAGAAACTCTAAGAATTATGTAGGACACTATCAAGAGGAAAAAACCTATGAGTGACTGGAGTACCAGAAGGGGGGTGGGTAACAGAAAATACAGAGAGAATTGTTGAAGATTTGTTGGCATAAAATTTCCCTGATATCATTAAAGACAAGAAGATGTCTATTCAAGAAGCTCATCGAACCCCACACAGGGTAGATCCCAAAAGAAAGTCGCCAAGACATATTATAATCAAACTTGCCAAAACCAAAGATAAAGATAAAATTTTAAGTGTGGCTATGGATAAACAAAAAGTCACCTACAAAGGAGAGTCACTAAGACTAAGCTCTGACCACTCAGCAGAAATCATGCAGGCAAGAAGGTAATGGGATGACATATATAAAGTCTTGAAGAAAAAAAAATTGCCAGCCAAGAATTATATACCCAACAAAACTGCCTCTCAAATATGATGATGAAATTAGGGCATTTCCAGATAAACAAAAGTTTAGGGAATTTGTAAAAACCAAACCAAAATTACAAGAAATATTAAAGGGAGTCCTTTGGCTAGAGAACCAACAATATCAAACAACAACCCAAGACAAGAACAGAGGACAGAACAACCAGATATCAAACCAGATAGGGAAGTCACAAAAATAAGTCAAAGCTAAAAGACTGAAAATAGGGAAACAGAGACGTCATTAAGTAAACAATGACAACACTAAAACAAAAAAGAGGGACTAAATAGTGTAGTCACAGAACTTTTACATGGAGAGGAAGTTAAGGTGACATCAAGAAATAAAAGACTATAGAGGTAAATTTTAAGGTAACCACAAAGGAAACTAACAAATCTACCCATCAAAATAAATAAGAAGAAAAACATGAAGACGCAGCAAACACAGAATCAACAATAATGAAAAACATGAAAAGAAAATACATAAAGAAAAAGAACTCAGCACAGAAAATTAAGTGGAACAAAGAAACTGTCAACACCACAAAAAAAAAAACAAACCTATGTCAAAATGTCAGCAGTAAACTCATACCTATCAATAATTACACTGAATGCAAATGGACTAACTGTGCCAGTAAGGAGACAGAGAGTAAAAGAATGGATAAAAAAAAACACAATCCATCTATATGCTGTCTACAAGAGACACACCTTAGACTCAAACACACGAACGGACTAAAACTCAAAGGATGGAAAAAAATATATCAGGCAAACAACACT